CCCCCCCCTTTTTTTTTTTTTTTTCCAATTAGCTCAGGAAAAAAACCAAAAACTTACTAACGGATTTAGTGCATTTAGAAACAAATATACAGATGTGCAATATTACCAACAATAACAAAAATATGGAGACTATACTTACATGGGCATCTTTCCCAGCTAGTTTGCATAATTCCAACTTTTCTTTTGCTGCAGGCCAGTAAATCTGGAAGATAGTTTAAATAAGACAAAGATTATGAATAATATAAATAGTCCTGTGACTACTTATATTTTAACTACCTCCTCGAAAGAACAGTTAAAACATACTTATACATGTTGAAGAAATTTACATATGAGTAGAAGTGAACCTGGCTTTGAAAGCAGTCTTCCATCACAAGGATCAAGGCTTTAAAGCAAACTCCTTGTTCTTTGTTCATTTCTTCATTGTGCATATCTAATTTTAATAAGTACTCAGTTAATCCAGCTAGAACACCTTGTAAGTATTATGAATAGCACGCTTTTCTCAAAGATAAGATGACACAAAACATCTAGAAATTGAACTGACTGAAGAACTAGGCAATTCAATTTGTAATGAATTTGGTCCAGTTAAACGGCAAAGGAATCTTAGAAAAACTGCTCGCTGTTATTACCAGTGTCCAAATGAAAAGAGGTTTTGTTTGAAAAACTAAAGGTAGGTGAAGGGAAATTCTCAGAACAGAGTGCATTACAGAAATTAATCGCACACAAAAATATTACTTTTCAACAATAACCAAGTATACTGACTAAAGCATACAGATTTTGAAAATGGCATATATAAGCTTAAAAAAAAATCATATACCTTACATAATTTTCAGCATAAAATATTACTACCTTTCTTTCTTCTTTCATCTGTACAATTCTGTAAATTAGTTTTTAGTGTCAATGATGGAGCCAGATGACAAATCACTGTCAGTTACTGTAACCTCAATGATATTAGTGAAGAAATGTCAAAGAACAACTGCTAAGGTTCTGGTTCACTGATTTCAATTAAGCAGTAAAAATTGGTTATTATTATTTTTCAGATTCTATTAAATTCAAAAGATAAATTAATTATAAATTCTTCCAGAAGCATCATGCTGAGCATGGATGGGTTTTCTTTTTTTTTTTCTCCTGCTTATTTTGACAAAAGAAAGGTACAGCCAGTCCTTATGATTAAAAACAAATCACAGTACTTTTTGATCAAATATTGGTTAGGAAACTGTTCCAAGTTCCAGAAACCAATATGCAGATTACTAGTAGTCAGAGATCCCTTTTTACTCTTAACCTACAAATACTTTCTAAAATTTTAAATAATGTCATATGAATAAAGCTTAGAGATTACAGATAAGATTAAAAACAATGATTAAAGATAAAAGGCATGTGAAATTGTCTTTCAGTAAAGATGTGTAACTCAAAAACAGGCAAGAAGAATTAGCATCTATAACATTCCCTTAGGTTCATCCAGCTGTTGACACCTTTTAAGATGTGCCTTGCCCCATACACAGGTTCACACCCTAGGATGCTAAAGAGTGTCCTATATCCAATCGTGTTGTCACAATTCCAGATACAGAGTGTTCTTCTCAATATTAGAGCACTCTTTTTATTTCATTCCTTTCTCTTCTCTTTTCATGAAATGAAAATGGATGTGATGGTTTTCTGCAAGGAAATCAGTTCTCTTTCTAGCGAATTCACAGATGCCTTTGTGATTAGAAGCTAATAACAAAGATAATGTATTTTAAGTCATATAAAGCTTAAGTAAATATTTCTGTAAAGGGTTAAAGTTAATGATAAGGCAATACAACAACATCTCAATACTGGAGCACAACTTTATTTTCCTAGAGCATTTTTTCAGAGTGATGTCATTATAAAATCCAGGTATGAAAACACAACTGCTCTGTGAAAAATCAGCTGCTGTGGTGTCTTCGAATTACACAGCGTACAGCTCGAGAAAGTAGAGCAGGAAGTACTGGGAACTTGGCAAATCCATTGGAAAGAGCTGAAGCTAGTGCCAGTGAACTCAATTGGTCTCTGCCTGGGCAGAGTGGTACAGCTTTGCCTTGCAGCACTGGTCTGCCACAAGTGTCACTGTGTTAAGTAGAAGGAGAGCTTGATGCTTAAGAGGTGCTGCTGAAGAAAGAATGATGAAAAAGGAACAGATAGAGGAATATAAGATCAGGGAAGTCCAAATGTCTAGGTAGTCTTAAATTAAGATTTGATCTTCAATTCTCTTGCATAGAAACTTCATACCCAATTCTGCCCACACAACTCCTATCCACAACAGAAAAGGTTATTATGGGTCTTTGAGGATTCTCTTATTTTGGTTTTGGCAATGTTTATTTGTCTGGTTATATAGACAAGATCTCCCTCAGCAGCTTTTTGAAAATACCTGCCCCTACCCTGCAACTACACAGCAGTACTGGACATTTGCTTTGGGAGGCCTAGTTATATTGGAAAGCAGCTACTTGAAGACATCACATATATTAATGGACACCACCTTCAACTCATGTTGAGATTCCTTCATCAGTCATTGTGTTTGTCATGTACGTTGTACAGTTCAGGATGAGATACACCTCTTGCCTTTGTGACTGAAAATCATTGTCAATTATGACAGAAAAGTCATTTGATTCTCATTCTGGCAGCTCAACAGACACAGTGTGTAGCATTATGCAAAACCACATTAGTCAATGGAAAGCGTAGCTAAGTGATCCAACTAACTTTAAAATCAACATGCAATACTACACAAGGGAATTACAGTGATATTTATTTGCTTTTCATCTGAGAATTGAAAGGTTTCCAGAAATAGTCATTTCTAAACTATAACAGATCAAGACAAGTGCATAATGCAATAAGTGCATATCAAGACACTGTATAACTTTAGGTTTAAAACAGCACAAATTATATATATATATTATGATCCGTATTTGAAATGTCTAGAGAAATCTTAGAATAGCTATGTGTAATTGCTCAGTTTAAGAAAAGAATGTAACTAGTTGAAATTCATCAACAATATACTTAAACAAGATCATTTTCTTCTCTTAAGCTTCAGTTTATTATCCTTGCAAAATACCCATATCAAAATTCCAAGGTTAGGGCTACCGTCATGATTTCCCAATTGTATCTTTTATGGACCAATTAAAAAAAAATAAACCTTATCATTACTTCTAAATAATTGTACAAATATTTTCTTAAATTTAGCAACAGGGAAGAAATTAAAATCTCCTAATAAGTGCAAGCTAACTTTTCTCTGTTGGCAGAGTGAAAGAAATCCTCCCAGGAGTACAAAATTAAGTAATGCAAAAGTGTAGGACAGATAAGGTATCACATTAAAGGGTAGCTGGAAATTGATTTCTGATTAAAACAAAACATTAGAAACCACAAAATCCTTTTCAGATCAGAAGTGTAGCAAATTCTAAAAGTAAGCAACATTTTTCCTAACCTCTAAACATGCATTTTTACTGCACGAATAGAGAGAAAAAATGAATTTTAAAAAATACAGATGATTTATGTATATAAATTGATATATAGATGCTATATATACCATTATATTTATCTACAAAGATACAGTTCTATCAGTTTCATTTCAGCTGCCATCTGTCATGAATTAACAATACTAGTTAAGAGTTACTATTTCCCTTGTCTTTCTTTATCTCTCTTTCTCAATCCACTTTTGTTTGTAGGCTAAAACAGTCTATAAACTCTTTGGTGAAGTGATGGCTCAAAGACAGAATGCTGAATTCTGATTCCAAAGAAACCGCTGTATTAAATTGAAGGTTATTCAAGAATCATTTCTAATGAAACTACTAAATTTATCATGATGCAGGGCTTTTTCAAAACAGTGGAAAACAATACATATCATCAGTGCACACACACACACACACAAACAAACAAACAAACAGGAGAAATTAAACATATCTTATGAAATTACAGACCTATTTGTCTTATTTCACCTTTTTGAAAGGTTTCAGAGCAGTTCTATAGGAAAGGGATAACTTAAGTTTCTAATGAATATTGAAATTGTGTAACATTCAATATAATTTGGTGAAGAGTTATTGTTCCTGGCTAATGTTATGCCTTTCTTTAAAAAGACAGCTGAACTACACATTACTGTAGAAGAACTCCTCATCAGAGCTCCAGTAAAGTATTTCATAAGGTGTAACACAGAAACTGATTAGTTCAGCTGGGGAAAATTTATACTTTTTTAATTAAAAAATGATCTGATAGGTATGGAGCCTGTGGCAGGAAACTACTCATGGAATTCTTAAAGAAATATTGGCAGAGTTCATTTTATTTCATATACTCTTCAGTAGTCTTGGCAAAAAGAAAAAAAAAAACACAAAACAGCACTGCAACAAAATGTGCAGATGACATAAAGCTGGGAAGCATCACTGATACACACTAAGAGGGGTAATAATCCACAGGAGAAATAAAAGGACTTTGATGACAAGAATTATAGACAGTAAGATGAAATTAGTGTAAACTGGTTGTAAATAGAAATAGACCATAGATTAAGAAAAAATTCTGAAGACCAGAGAAATGAGATTCTGGGATTAAAGACCTTTCTACAGAAGTTGCATGAAGCATTCCACAACACTTCTTATAGCAGAATTGGATGGGGCTATTAAAAGAATACCTGCAGCATGAGGTATTTGCTTGTGATAGAGAATGAGACCAATTGACCAACATGATTCCTCCCATTCCCATGTCCCCGAGATAATAACACTCATGCCAGCAATAAGCACTTGAGTGTTTCATTGAGGTCGATGGTTTTCAGCAGCCCTGGAGGTTTCACTGGAACCTCTCATGTGCTTGACATCGCACACGTGCATCAGCACTTCTCTATCAGCACAGTCTCTGGTACGAGAAACCTCAAAGTGTTTTGTTAGTGGTACAGGTAGCACCAGCAGGATGCATCCCTATCTGGAGCGAAACACATCAGCTGACTGTTGTGTCTTGTAACACTCACTCACTGAATTGGATCCCTGTAAAGAAAGCCACGAACTTCCTCCCTGTTTTGAAGGACTAAGAGGTGGGTCGAAGCACTTAGAGGAAAATATATTGATTTTAAGCAGCTGCTTGATACAACCAGAGAAAGTCTGCTTCCTTCCCTTCCTTTATTCTATGTACTATTTTTTTGTTGTACTGATGCTTTAGAGAAGAAGGCATGCAATAAAATTACAGCATCCCTGGCATCCAAATGTCTCATTAAGA